ATTTTAGATGCACAAATGAGAATGGAGAAGAAATTTGCTTTCAGAAAAAAACAGGACTGAAGAAGAATTCATAGCCAAATGCCTGAATATATTTGAACCAGTTTGTTTCTTTCATTTTTATTTGTTCTGTGTATGTGTTTGGCTGCATGTATGTATATATATATACACCATGTGGGTGCTTGGTGCCCACAGAGGCCAGAGACGACATCAGATCCTCTGGACCTGGAGTTACAGAAGGTTGTTAGCCACCATGTGGGTGCTGGAAACTGAACCTTGGTCCTCTACAGGAGCGGTTAGTGCTCTTAACCACTGAGCCATCTTCCTAGTCCCTGAGTCAGTTTTCTAAGCAATACTCTGTACATCCCCACAAATCTGTCAGCTTCCCAGAAGCCTCAAAATGGATGGCCAAGAGCATTTACCAGGGCATATGCTAACAGTCCCCTATCTAGAATGTCAAAATACATTTTGCGTTTAACTAAACATGCTTATTTTTTAATGTACTCAAAAAGACCACTGCAGAGCAACCAAGGGCATTGGTGATCTGAACTTCTACAAAAACAAACAGATATTTCTAGTGGAAATACACATTTTTAGAAGAAAACTGGACCCTTAAATTATATTCTGGTGGTGCCTGTGTCAGGGCCACTGGGATAGTTCTATGAAATGCAGGTAGAAGAACCTCCTCCAAGGGGAGCATCGGAATCTCTGGGTGGAGGCCTAGTGGCCAGAGCACTTGAAAACACGGTGTGATTTGTATGCGTGCTAAAGCTTTCGAATCCTTTGGTCACCTGGAAGAATACTGGAGCGAAAGTGGGAGATGGAGACTGTTTTCTTCTTTGTGTTGAATTCTGAATTTTTTCATGAACAAAACTTAAAAGAATAAGCACCATCTGTATGTTTGAACCCCTGGAACCAGGCAGAAACCTCTGGCAAGTAGGACAATGATATGGAAAACATTTGTAGATTTGAACTGCGAAGTAGGTCACGAAGGGCACAGATTACAATAGACAGTGTGCCCTGTTTGACATCCCTATTTCCTCTCCTGTCCCCTGACTTTCTCAAAAGAAGCAGCATAATTTCAGTGTTGTCCACAGATTCTGCACCAGGACTCGGGGTTTTCTTTCTATTCCAGTGACTTGAATTTGAAACATCTAATTAATTTTTTGTAACAACTAGTTAATCACAGTGTGTTTATAATAAATTTTTTTCAGAAATGCAGTTCTACTTCTTTTGATATTTTCCTTATTGTTAGAATCACCAAATACAATCAAATTGATTTATTTTGATGTATTCTCATTTTTTAAGACTACAAAGGACTAGTGATGTGGCTCAGTAGTAGCATGCTTGGGTAGCACACAAAAGACCTTGAATTCCTGATCCTCCTGCCTCCACCCCCCAAATTTTGGGACTGAAGGCATGTGTACTGTGCCTGGCTCTGCAGTATTAGGGTTTCAAACAGCAGCAGCCTCCCCCATCCCCAACAGGGTCCCATGGACTTTGGATTTCTCAAGCCTGAAAAAGGGAACAGAGCTGATAAGCACCTTGGCCTTTGAAGTCAAGGGAAGCAGATTCTTCTAAGAGGAAGCCTGCCTTTCCTCTGATCTCTGAAGACAAGATAAGCAGATCCTGCCTGTTCCAAACCAGAGATTTTAGGAGCTGTTTTAGCACAGCAGCTTTTCCCTTATCTTAGGAAGACAAAAAAGTAAACACTTCCTGACCCAGATCCTGGCTGGCAGACGGAACGGAGCCAGGTTTACAAGCCCTGCTTTTCCTGCTCCCCCCCCCCTCCCGGGCCCCGCCTGATTTTTCCTCAAAAAACTTACTGCCTTCTGCACCCTGAAGCCCGGTATATAAGCCCCAGCTCACAACCCATGGGCTGACATTTTCCCTTCCCCGCGGGGAACGTGTCCCCTGCGAAATAAAGCTCTATCCCACTGAGAGTTTTATCTGTGTCTTGGTGCCTCTGCCTCCATTCGCTCGTTCTCCCCCAACTTTTTACCTATCATGCAGCACCCTTAATGACACTCTTTAGGAACAGACTATTGCCTCCTTTCCTGAACTGTTAACCTTTTAAAGATTTTTCTTTTTATTCCTCCCTGTGCCACAGAGAAATTGTTTTCAGTGAGCAATTGCCAAGAAATGAAATGGCACTGTGTCAGCACTTGTCCAGAGTGCAGGCTGGCTTTTTAACCAAATATTCCCATCACATTTGTTCTCGCCAATCAGTGGTTTATATCTTCACAACTAAGCACTGTAAAGAGAACTTAGAAAGGTCATGTGCTGGGCAAAAGATGTATAATATTCCATATCAGAATGGACATCATGATTCATTAAAAAATATTTTTAAAAGAAATTAAAGTGTTTTATGTCCTGATGAATTAGACTCCCTTACTGCTTTCTATTTCTTTAAGAGCACAAAACAAGTCAAGGCTGGAGTCCAAAGTCTAAACAGGTCAAGAGGTGACATGCACCATTCTGCTTGTGGTGTGCTTTGCATGATGTTAAGTTGGCAGACAAAAATAAGAGTTGAAAACCTGGGAAATGTCCTGTGCTTATAAACTAAGTAGCTTTTCTCTGACAAGGCTAGTTCAACACTATAAATAATGACTTCGTTCTTGCAAACAAGCTTCAGTTTCAGAAAAAGTGACTTCATTATCAACCTTATAACTTATTTGCATAGCCTGTCTTTATCAACAACAAAACCATAGTTTTTCTTTCTATACTTGTGAAAATAAAAAAAGTGAGTACTCTGCTTTATCATAGCCCAGAATACGTTTCTGTGATTGAATGGAGGATTCAGTTACATCAGTGTCACAGTACTGTACAGCATCTGCTTCCCATTTTCTGTACAATGCAGGTACTACACAGGTGAAATGTGGCAAATATCTAGATCTTTCATAAAAATAAAGCAAAAAACGAAACTAGCAACTAACTAATATATATTTTCAATTACAATAAAATTTTCTACTTAAGAGAAATGTGACTTGAATTATCAACTACTGTTCTATTATAAAATACAGTATTTAATAAATAAAGACTATCCTTTACAGACATTAAAAGAGAACTTCCAGATCTAGGCAATAGCTCAGTTGTTAAAGTGCTTGCAAGAGGACCTGTGTCCTCACTGCCCCAGAACCCATGCACAAAAAGCATGGTGTGATGGTGCCACACAATTATAATTCCAGTGGGGGTGAGGCAGAGGCAGGCAGTTCCCCAGGGCTCATTAGCTAACCAACCTACCTTAGTTGGCAAATTCTAGGCCCATTAAAAACCCTGTCTCAAAAATAAATAAATAAATAGTAAATAAATAATAAATAAATAAATAAATAAATAATAAATGGCAGACAGCTTCTGAGAAACAATACCTAAGGTTGTCGACTGGCTTCCACATGTACCTGCACACACATGAACATGTACACACACAAAGAAAAGACAAGAACATCCCATTGTAAGAACAGTTGTCACAAGTTCTTCACTTACTCTTTGACAAGCTTTGGGGAAGAAAAAAGAATGATAGACATCACCCGTCAGTCATGGTGCGTGGTTGTGATGCTAACATTCCAAGGGACTGTGAGCTCAGAGCTAACCTGGGCTATCTCCTCGAACATTGACTCAAAAAAGCAAACAAACAAAAATATAGTCACCGACTTGAAGATCCTACAAGAAACAAAACCAAAAAGGTGATTTTTAAAGGCTTCAATTTTCAGAAAGGTCCAAGATGGTAAAAATGTTACTTGTCAGTATCAATGACTGCATTGATATTCTGGGAGCTATTTAAAAATCATCCTCCAAGTGTTTGTTTGTGAAAGTTCTAAGATCTGATATACATTTAGGCAGAGGGAATTCAAACACACTAGGATAATCTTGTTCCAACTTGGAGTTTTTCACATGAAGGTTAGGGACCTACCCACAGCATGTGGATGGCTACTTCCGCTTACAGTTTAATGACTTTTTTTTGTATATCCCATGTCAAATCTCGGTGTAACTTTTTCTCTCATTTCTGCCATTCTACTTCAATAAATTTTCTGTAATTTTTTTTGGCTTCTTAATGACATATTCATTGTTGCGATTACTATAACAATCATTAGTACCATTTTTTCCCATGATGTTATATATTTGGGGAAAGTCCTCTTATCATGGGAATTATTTAGGCTTCTGTTGTAACACAAATGCAACATTGGTTTTTCTAGTGAAAAAATCTTAGACAAAATACTTTCCATTTGCCAACAACAAACCAATAAAAGTTTTTTGAATTCATCTAGGACAGTAGCTTTTAAAATCCCTGTTCTACATCTCAGACCAAGTTAAGCAAAACCTACAGAATCCAGATTCATTTTGTTGTAAAAACTCCCCACATTTGCTGTGATTTTTTTCAATGCATGGATTCAGTCGATGTCAACTGCTGCTATAGTGAGAGTCAATCTGATCTGGCCAAGCACTACATATTTCCTAAAGGAAATATTTTATATTGGGACTTACAATAGACCCATGAATGCAGAAAAGGGTTTAGAGTGTTACTGAGGTAAAATGATGCTCAGACGCCATGTTCTGTCACTATAGTTCTAAGAAATCTAAATCAGAGGACAGTTAAATAACCTCAGTGATAATTATGCCTCTAACTGGAAACACTACAGTATAAACCAAATTAAAAAACTTGAAATTATAAAATCCCAACCTCAAAAAATCCTGCCTCTTCATATTATGGAGGACTGATCTGCTGCACCACACAGCTGTGCAGCAAATATTAAGATTTAAACTCATTTCATTTGTCATGAAATATGTTAAAAAATTTAAACATTTATTGAGTCCTGCTGACTGCACATCTTTTATTTTAAATTATTATAATCAGAGTTTTTAGGGAATATGCAAAGCCCAAGACAAGTCATAAATTGAAATCCTTATACATACTGGTTTAAAAAAAAAAGTCTAAGGTGGCTATGATTGTACTGCCCTTTAGCGCTCAAATAGCTTGTCTATACTGAAGTTCATTTGCCTTTCAGATCAGTATCTTCATGACCCATCTGTCTAACTATGGAAATGACCGACTGGGGCTGCATACGTTTGTGAATCTAGCCAACTTCCTGCAGACCTGGACCAACCTGCGCCTTCAGACCCTGCCCCCAGTGCAGCTGGCTCACAAGTATTTTGAGCTCTTTCCTGATCAGAAAGATCCTCTCTGGCAGGTAAGATTGGCTCAATAATTAGCACAATTAATCTCATAAACATATTTTACAGTTCTGTGAAATTATCCAAATGTGAAAATTCAAAGCATCTGAGGACAATGGTCCACCTGGGAAGCGTTAATGTTTGAGACACTACTTCCTGCCGCGTTGTTGTCTGATGTTACTGCTACGCACAGAGCAAAACCCTTTCTCATTAGAAAATATAGAATATTCAGTGAGGGATTCAGTGGATGGGATATTTTCAATCAGGAGTGAGATAGCCATTTTCAGACTATAATAGGTTGAAAGCAGAAGATGATAAACAGGTTGTGTGTTAGGCAGTTAGCCATCTGGTTAACCTTGAACATGCTCCCATGCACACCCACAGACACACAGACACACAGACACACACACACACACACACACACAGACACACACACACACACACCTCCCTCTTATGATCAACCCACATTAGGAGCTTTCTGATAGGAGATGAGCTTAGTACTGACAGGTTATATTAGCATTTGGTATGGCAAGCATCTTTTCTTCTTAACCAGTCACTGGAAAGATGTGCAATTTTCCCACCAATTTAACACCTTATTTTTAAACCAAAATCATTATCATTGTAGGTGAATAGTTTAAAACAAATGGTTTTACAAAATGGGAGCCAAAGGAGTACCTCACTTTTGTCATCATTAAATATAAGCAGTTTTATTTAAGTTCACATATCTACTGCACTAATTGAATGAAAGAAAAAATACTCCTGTTGGCTCATTCCTAAAAGAGTATTGTAATTTCTCCTCCTTCTCTATGTTAATACACAGACTGGAGTTTAAAGTATGTTTTAGATACAGTTGCACAGTGTGTGTTGGTTTTAAGTGTTATAGACTCAAACTAGAACCTCTAAAGCAGAAGTTCACCTACATCTTACACTTTGCTAAAATTTAATACTTTTAGCATCATTGTCTGTAAATTTATATGTTTGGATACACAGTTACCAAACTTTGAAGGCAGCTGAAAGGAATTGGCTATCAATTTAAGCAATATTAGTGCAGCTTGAGCCCTGTGCTTTTGAACCACAGCAGGAAAGTTCAGTTACTTAGAAAAAAGTTTGACATGTTACATTACAGTGATTTATCACATTGAGAGAGTAGCTATATCTCCTTTTAGGCTAGCAGAGAGAATAATTTTTGCCCAATAAGCTCACTATTAAGAAGCGGGAATCTTAAATGCAGAATTGTCAGTAATATGAAAGTTTGGTGCTCAGACGCTGTTTACCAAAAGTAGAAATCTGTCTCCCTTCTCACGTCTACACTGTCAGCTTCAGGATGGAAAGAAATTATTCCAAAGAGCCTGTGATGCCACCTCACTTTCAGCCTCAAAAAAAGAAGTTTCCTCCTTTATCCTCCTGTTTCCTGGGGTATGGTATAAGGACAAGCTTAGAAATGCTAGCTCACAAACGGACACACAGAAAGACAATAATCTCTCTATTCTCCAATTCAGAACCCTTGTGATGACAAACGCCACAGAGACATTTGGTCTAAAGAAAAAACGTGTGATCGTTTACCAAAATTCTTGGTAATAGGACCCCAGAAAACTGGTGAGAACTTTGAATGTTATGTTTACTAAATAATGTAGAAATACTAATAACTAGGGGAGTTCAGAAGACATGATTTCTCCTGATACAGTCCTTGCCTTGCTGAACAATGTACTGAGGATTTTGTCAAGGGGTTTAAAGGGAAAAGGATGACATGATGTTATGTAGTTGACATACATACCAGTCAGCTTTTTGGCATTTTTCCCAAAGATCTTATTTGAGAAGTGTAGTTAACATTTCTAAAATTAAAACTAATCTTGTGTTTAGAAAGTGATTGACAGGATTTGATCAAAAGTTAAGAGAGGTATGTAAGTCCCTAGAGTGGTTTACAATAAATGCTTTCCAGAAAAATTGCTGCTTTCCAGACACATTTACTTGTAAACTATTTCTTGCAGAGATGACTATTTTTTAAAAATTGGAACGATGTTTGACAAGCAGAATTCCTAAACATAAACAAAACTTTCTGCTAGGAAAGGTATTTTTTCATACCCAGGAGAAATTTCTTGCACCTTTTTCTTAAATTGGTGTGCAATTTCTCCCCATAAACTTCCTTTTTCCTTCAAATATCAGTATTAGAATGAAGCCCAGTGGAAGTTTTAAAATGCCAAACATTCAGTCTGTATCTTGCATGATAAATTACTCGGGGCCCTTGGATTCCGGCTTCATAGAAAATGGCCATTTTAACTGCACTGCTGGCCAAGGGGAATTCAGCCCCCTCCAAGTCTCTGAAGGTAACAGAGAGTTCTGAGCAAGCTGCCCTGGGAGCTTAGCCTCTTCCTTATTTTTAGTGCCATTTGCAAATAATCAGAAGGCTTGAGTCAGTGTGGCAGACAGTCCTTAAGGAGGAGAACATTGAAACTGAAGTCTCCTCAGAGAGGTGCCGTGGTCAGCCATAGCCTCATCATCACTGCTCACCTGTGTCTGAAGCCTGGCATATCCTGTTTGCTGCAGTGAGCCCTGCAGGAGAGCAACTTCTCCCACTGTGCTAGAAACAGTGCCACATCACGCTTAGATAGCAGAATTATTATTTGGCTTCCTAAACTCATCTGGGTTTTCAAACATTCATGTTACTATTTGGATATGACATTTGCCTTTGGCATAAAAAATATGGAAAATGATTGCTTTTATAGAAATTTAAATTTCCCAGTTTTATGGAGGTATAGTTTACATCCAATAAAATTCATCAGTTCTAAATGTAAAATTAGGCAAATTTTAGCAGTTTTACATACTTGTGTAACTAACATCACATTCAAATGTAGAAGAGTTCTGTCCCAGCCACAGTGCCCCAAACTGCTGTGCAGTTAGTTATCTCCCCTATCCCCCCCACCCCCTAGCCACATTCTGCCCCTGTGTGAACCCGCCTCTAAGTGACTCTAATGCAGCCAGATGCTGAGGCCCACTGTTCTGAGTCAAGCTGTTGAAGAACTGTAATGTTGTGTTCACAGGTCCTTGTGTTTCATTCCATGTCATCCTCCATGACTATGAGCAAAGTGCTCACTGTTTGGCTTGGAAATATTCTAGATATACTGAATATTTGAATTCTTTTACATCAGTTATTTTAACAATCTTAATATTGCACAGGTATTGGATATTTAAGTACAATTTTAAAACTTGTCAGAGTGAAAAGGAAATACCAAATTTTGTGTAAATGGCAACATGATATTATTATTAAGCAAAGTTAGAATGGTAATTTCTCCAAATAGGAGAGCTATTATGAGACCATGTTTGATTGCTGTTGCTATTGTTTAACCTGATGTACAATCGACAAAGCCTGTTCTGTTAGATCATGTAGTGGTGTAAGTCCATGAGCGTATAGACAGTACAGGGTGCATTTATATCTTAGGAACAGTGAAAATACAGACCAGAGTACTTTTATGTAATGATCTTACAAACACAGGCACAATTGCAAGTAACTGGTTAACTCCTTGGCAAACTGAACACAAGCAGCCTTACTTTCTCCTGCAGTAGACTAAGTAAATGTACACACTTTACCTCCTAATTTAGGCCAACAAAACACTACCTCTACATACATTTTAAAAAAAGCACACCTTTGCTCCCCAGTACCCATAAACTATAAGAGCTATTCTAGTCCCAATAAATGTTAATTTTATGTCACTAAAAGGGACACTACTATTCTTCAAATTTAGCAGTTTAAGTGGTTTTTGGTCACTTGCTGTAAGTATGTGGGAGTGCTCAAGCCTATGCAAACTTAGAAGTTTTGATTCTTTTTTTTCCCCTACAGTTCAATTTTATTTATTTAATATACCCAAGTTTGTTGTTACTTCTGTACATAAGATACATCTTTTTTTATTGAGCTTTTTAAATTTCATACACCATCTCCCACTCAAATCCAGACCTCCTTCCTGATTCATACCTCCCTTTAGTCCCCCACCGAACCCTGGGCCCTCTGCCATACCTGCTGAGTCCTATTCATTCAGGTGTTTGTACCCAAGTGTCCTTCAGTGTAAATGTGTCCACTGGAGTCTAGTCAGCCCATCCAGTGGCTGTCTGTAAGTTATCCTCTCCCTCACCCAGCAGCAATCAGTCTCAAATAGTTCTCAATCCAGTGCTGGCCCTCCAACTATTTCTCACCTCCCCTTTGGGCCCTTGTTTAATTGAGCTGACTGATGGATGAATCAGGTCAATCGGAGAAAACACCAGGACACAGACAAAACTCTGACAGGATAGTTTATCAGCAGAGGAAAAGCACATGGGACAATTCCCTTCAGGACAGGGAAGTTGTCAGTCTTCAGGTTGTGGGCTGGGTTTTATAGGGGGGCTTTGGGGGATGCAGAAGGTAGGAACATGTTTTTTGTTTTGTTTTGTTTTTTAAAGTTAGGTGGGAGAGAGGGAGCCCAGGGCTTGTCAGAATAGCTTCTGTTAAAACCACCCCTTCTGTCAGCCAGGATCTGGGTTATGGGGTAAGGTAAGGAGTCTATACATTGTAAAACTTATCAGGAGGAAACAGCTTACCAAGACAGTTCCTACATTAATGGATCTGGAGTTCAGGAGCCTGTTCTGCGTCCAAGATCATCAAAGGGGAAGCAGGCTGTCTTTGACCAAAAGGTACAGAGAGTCTGCTTATCTTGTCTTCAAAGACCAGGGTGCTCATTAACTCAGTTCCTGCATTCTCAGGGGCTTGGAAAACTGTGAAGCCCTGTTGGGAGGGGGCTGCTGCGGATCCGAACCCTAACACTGACGTGGGTCCCATGCTAGACACCACCGCTGCCACAGGCTCACATGAGCAAGCCTCCAGTGGCCTGGAAACCTCCACATCCCTGTGTTCATAAACCAGCCCTGGCTCTTACAATCTTTCCACCTCCTCTTCTACAATGGTCCCTGAGCTGTGGGTGGGTAAGGTTCCATACAGGAGTCCCATCCTACACTCTACAGTCTCTAATTCTTCAAAACTTGGCTGGTAGTGGCCTTCTGTGTACATCGCACTCTGATGTACATGGAAGCCTCACTGGTCAAAGTTGAGGGGTGCATTAGCCCTCTCTCTACCCTTTATTCCTCCATGTTCCATTAACCTTAGTTGTAGAGATTTGACTGCACATGTGTCACCTAGTACTGGGCATCTCCGAGATGTATGTTCTCAGTGCCTGACCAGATGTGCAACCCTGCAGTAGCCTCCATCTTTTGCAAAAAGAGGCTTCTTTGATGAGTGCTTGTATGGCATACTTAAAGCCTAAATTGAATCTAATTAAGATCCCATTCTTAATTAGCTTTCACAGGCCTCAGGAAGATCTTTATAGAATGCAAATACCAATTTTGGTAATGTAATACATTAAATAATGTGGTAGTTCACTTATAGTGCTTTAATTAATTTCAAAACATCTTCACATACTTTTTCATCATCAGAGAAAATCAGTGAAATTTTTAAAGATGATTTTTCCTTTAAAAACCTAAAATAGAGAGAAATAAACAGCCCAAATCACAAATCAAACCAGTAAAAGCCCATTTCACCAGTGTGGGCTCTAGGCCTGTCCTCACATCACTTAACTGGAGCTGGTGCAATGATGCAGGTTGTCAACTCAGTTTGTCAAGGGGACATGTAATGACTCTGCTTGGATCAGTGTAATATTTACACTATGTGTAAGTATTTACAGCCAGTCTATGAGTGGCTGGATGCTAACTCTGGAACTCGACCTGTCCATTTCCTTAACTCCTATATCTGTGCTGTCGTTTCAGGTACCACTGCTTTGTATTTGTTCCTGGTTATGCACCCTTCCATCCTTAGTAACTCCCCCAGCCCAAAAACCTTTGAGGAGGTACAGTTCTTTAATAGAAATAACTACCACAGGGGGATTGATTGGTAAGATGGGTTATTAGTATAAATCTAAAAGTATATGTACTGTGCACGGTAGAAACTTAGTGGTAATGTGTAAAGAAACATGAAAGTTTGTAACCACAGATAAAGTGTGTACCCCACACCTTGGACGTTGACTGTATAGCATAAAAGAGGACAAAAATTATTCATAACAAGTCTTTTCAGTTAATGGAGGGGTTTATTGCCTCAGGAGCCCCACCTGCCAATTGGCATTAATTATCGTTGAGGATAATTACAGATGTGCAGTCAGAGAACAGTATGAGCCCAGGAGCATCCCCCTGCCAGCGTCGCCCTTGTGCACATTGGCGGTGATACTGTGCTCCATGGCATCTTTTTCTGTTATGCTTTAATTTAAGAGCCAAAGAAGTCACTAGAAATAGAAATGTGGACATGTTGATCAATAATGAGACTTTGTAAAAATATTAATAGTACTAAAAACCTAATTTTTACCCTTGATTTAAAATTCAAAATATATTAAGTATCCAAAGAAAATGGTTTAAAATTTAAGGTCAAAATGTAGGTATAGACAAGTATAATAGAGTAGACACTGATGGTACAAATAACATGCTAGTCCTAAGATGTATTTAGAGAGTTTTCTATTAAGCTCTCATGTTGAGCAGAATGGTAAGAAAAGAGTGGTTCTTCCAGAATATAAACAGACATCTTGCCTTTATTGTACATAGTTGTTTGCATTAACCTTAGTTGTCTAGTTGCATGACCTCAATTTTATTTCTTTATGTATTTTTAAATATTTTTTTATTATTGTCATTTTGTGTATGAGTGTAATGCCTGCATGTATGTAAGTGTACTCATGTTGTGCAATGCTGGTGGGGGCCAGAAGAGGGTGTTGGATCCCCTGGAACTGGAGTTTCAAAGGGTTATTAGCCACCATGTGAGTGCTGGGAACTGAACCCAGGTCCTCTGGAAGAGCAGTCAGTGCTCTTAACCACTGAGCCATCTCTCCAGCCCCACATGATTTCAATTTTAGAAGTATCAACCATCTCAAGTCCTTGTGAATAATCAGAATAGAGAGATAAAGAAACAAATTGAGTATAATTTGAATATCTACTAGAAGTTATATGTATCCTGTCACATGGCTCAAGACCCATTCTTCCACACAGTGCTTGACAGATGTGTGGTATAGATACACCATCAACTACTTCAACTTCTATAACCACTCACCCAATAGAATAGAATCCTGTCATTAGGACAAAAGGAGGGATTAAAGGCTTCTAGAGGTAATGACTAGTAAAATTCTTGGCATTCCTGGAACTTAAGAATAACCAATTTTTGTCATAAATTATATCAAAAAAACCTTCTTCATCACAAGCTAGTAATATGTGTCAATACTGTAATAAAAATAAATTTTCCTTCAAACACTTTACAAAGAGATGACATGAATTACTAAATATAACTCACTAAGGACCTGGAAATGTAGATCAGCGATAGTGTGCCTAGCATGTGCAAAGACCTAGGTCTAATGAAGAAAGCAGACTAGGTATAAACATAACTCACCAAGTACCCCAGATGCAAATGCTCTCAATTGACAAATTATACATTTATAAAAGGCAATTTATGTAAATAATAGATAGTGGTAATTAAAGATGTCATTTTATAACTGTATTTACTCTCAACAGCATCAAGTGTGTTCCCAGGCAGACCCTGGCTTCTCAACAAAGCATCAGCCCATCAGCCATGCTTTGGGATCTTGATTCCACAACATTATGTGTCTTAGAGTCCCAGGGACATTTCAGTAATTAACTTAGGCACACTTAATTAATCCATATGAAAGGAACTGCTTTTATTTTTTAAAGAGCTGGATAAAGCTAGGACCTCCTTAACTGACAAGTAGTCTAAGCATAGGTTTAGGGTACAAGCAAAGTAAGCCAAATGAAAATTTTAAAGTTTATCTTTGACCAAATAGCCAAAATCTGAAGTGAGAACACCTCAAGAAAACATCTGACTTACTCATGAATGTAAACCTTATGCTTTATAGACTGGAGTGGTACGTAGACATCATAGAATCCTGTTAGCATTTAGAACTTCTACAGATATTATATAGCTTTGAGTAAAATCAATCAAAAATACTCGGGATCAGAACTGGAGAGATGCTTGCTTGGTAGGGCAGGTGGGGAGGAATCCTGGGGGCTTGGTGGAATGGAGACGGATTAGGAAGACACCCATCATCAACCTCTGGCCTCTGCACATGCGTACATGGGTGAGCACGCCCAGACCCACATGTGCACACATACACAGACACCACACACAGACACACACAGAAAACATTCATGTCAATACAAATCACAAATAAATGTAAAATACTTCAAAAAACCACATCTTTCACAGCCAGGCGTGGTGGCACACACCTTTAATCCCAGCACTCGGGAGGCAGAGGCAGGCAGATCTCTGTGAGTTCAAGGCCAGCCTGGGGCTACAGGGAGACCCTGTCTCAAAAAGACCAAAAAGAAAAAAAAACCACATCTTTCAGATTTTAAGAAAATACTGAAGTACTATATTTTATAGAGCCAGCAAAGCTAATTAAGGAGGCAGTATTTAAGTATAAGCCCTAAATTGCTGTAACATGCTTGCTAATCTTTGGATCTCCTGAATACTTACTCTCCAAGAATGATCCTACCTGGGAAAACTCCAGGTCCCATCTTGGAAATGTGGACCAGAATTTCTTTTATTTACTTGTTTACTGATCAATTATTCCAGCTTCTAGAAAAATGTGAACATATAGTCAAACAAGATTGTATCTCCTTTTCTCTGTGAGCCTCTACAACCAGAAAAAATCAACAGCATAAATTCAACACTGGGAACCCTTCAAGGACTTTTCAAGGCCTAAGCTGTTACAGGTATAAATGACAGACGAGAAAGGACTGTCTTTACATGTTAAAAGCTATCTAAGGGGCTGGAGAAATGACTCTGTGGTTAAGAGTCCTCTTGCAGAGGACCCAGGTTTGATTGCCAGCACCCACATGGCAGCTAATAACCTTACATAACTCCAGTTCCGGGGGGATACAGTGCCATTTTCTGGCCTGTGTGGGCACTGCATGACACAGGTGCACTTACATACATGCAAGCAAATGCATGAACTGGGAAATCTTGATATGATTTTGTACATGGAAATATGGACATACTTTAAAAACTTTTCTTGTAATTATTCTAAAGAGAAATATAAGTGACTATAAAAAAATTGTAAGCAAATAGGTAACATTGACAACAGACACATTCTATGCTTTGATACTACATGATTAAATATACCAGTCAGACCCAGTAGTAGGAATGAAGTTACTTTACTGTGATAGTACAAGTTATTTTAAAATGTCTTTGAACTGAGTATAACCTCTGTTTCATCAAATTTTCTTTTGATTTGGTTTCTTTGTATAGCTTTCCTGTTCTTAGAACAGTTTTGCACAGGCGTTGATCACTGTTGTGGTTTGATGACTATTGTGGTTTCTACATTTTTGCTTTTTTGCTTTTTTTCTGATATTAAGCAAATCAAAAAGAAAAGGCATTTATAAAAAAATTTTGGAATGCATTATTTATTCTGAACCTGTTTCCCTTGCTCACTAGAGGGACAAATGCCTCAGAGAAAAGCATGTTTGTTGTTTTTTGTAGGAAATAAAAGGATTTTTTTAAAAACCTTTAATGTCCAGTCACCAGGATATGAATATAGATAAGTCTTATTTTGAGAAAAGATACTCCTTTTCTAGGTATATGGATTTCTTCCCAGTTCCATCTAATGTCACCACTGACTTTCTGTTTGAGAAGAGTGCCAATTACTTTCACTCAGAGGAAGCCCCTAAAAGGGCAGCTTCTCTAGTCCCCAAAGCCAAGATCATCACCACTCTCATTGACCCATCGGACCGAGCATACTCCTGGTACCAGGTAAGGAAAAGATGTGCCTG